AACAAATGCCAAATGTCTTCTTTGATATAAGGAGAGCAACTAAGAACAGAGCAGAGAGGAAGAGCATGAGAAAAAGATTAACATTAAACAGGGACGAGAGGTGGGAGGGAAAGGGAGAGAGAAGGGAAATTGCATAGAAATGGAAGGAGACCTAAGAGTTTTTAAGATAACATCTAAAATTTTTCATTCAACAGTAAATGATTGCAAAGGATGTAATTTCTGGCATTTTATAGATAATGCAATTTTTAAATAAACACATCACTCTAATGGAATCTAGATAATATAAGGATAATCCATTTTTAAACATGTTATTATTAAGGAAAATGGGGCAAAGAGTACACAGGATCTCTTTATTATTTCCTCCAATTGAGTGAGTCTTCAGTTAACTCAAATAAAAATTGATTCTGATGTTGATGAAAAAGTTGACTTGAGTTCTTCAACAGAAATTTTATATCTCATATTTTCATTTCTAGATAATTTTCATTTTGAAGTAATATATTTCTGCATAGTCTGGTGACATTGTCATAATTATTTACAAAAATATGTATGTATATTGAATTTTCAAAGATTAATTTTCTGTGATCTAAAAGTTTTAAGCATTTATTTTTTATTTGATTTTATAATTCTAGAATTACTATTTCTGTACAGTTGATATGTTACGTATTATTAAATGTATGTAAGTTTTGTTTATAAGTTTGTTGTTATGTCATCAAATATAAGTAAAAGATGACTATTAATTAGATGATGGGACTTTGAAAAAGTTTATTGTAAACAGACCCTTTTTTTGGCCGCCCAGGTGCTGGGGATCAAACTCAGGGCCTCATACATTCCAGGCAAGTGCTGAGCCACTGAAGTACACCCAAACCTGAATAATTTTTTTAATGGAACGATCAGAATTCAGTATCAAGTCTGTTTTTTGTTTTATTTCATCTCTTCCTTCATCAACTCAGTTATAGAAGGCCTTCTAACACCAGATTTTACCAAAAGTGTCACTTGATTTAGTACCCTGGAGCGTTTTCTATCTTGGGACACTACATAATAATGAGGTGTATACCTTACTTTTGTAAACCAAGAAGAGAGTGTTGGAGTAGTAAGAATGTGGAAAAGGAGAGTGGTGATGAAATATGTACTACAGGAACTGTTTAAGGTAGATCTGCTTAGGGAAAAAAATTCATTCATTGAGAAGTTGAGGAGCTAGAAACTGCTTCACTTAAATCCATGCCTGCATTTCCCTTTAAAAGTCTTTACCCTAGAGCCCTTACTTTGAGGAATTAATGAATTAATCTGTATTTTTTGAAGATATTGAGTATATTTTTGTGGATATTTTCTTTAGGTTTCCATGCATCAGTAAATGCTCATCCAATATCTATTTACTTAAATACTGTTTTGTATCTAATTTCAATTTGGTTGATTAAAAAAATTGAATTGAAATATTTGTTGAATAATCTATTAAATAGTGGTATTTCTGAACTCTTCCCATAAATGTGCTTTTTAATTTTACGTAATAGTAGTTAAATGAACTGTGTGTGGCTTGCCTTGAGAAACAGTGTATGATAGGAAAATAAGTCTATGTAGAAAATGGCACAGATAACATCTTTAGGAATGGACAGGGATCTGGACCTTCTATGATGGGGTGGAAAATAGCCACACCCAATACCCACACCTTTTGCTCATGTCTATTCTTATATTTCAAAAGAATTTCAAAGAAAACCAGTGATTTTTTTCCCTTAAGGTATATAAATATATTTTTGTCAATTTTAAATACTTTGGAGTAATATAAAGAAAGACATTTTGTCCTGTGCTAGGAAAAAAATGGGTTATCCCTAAGGCAAGTGGTATTACCAACATAACTCACACTCATCCTAGAGAACATATATACTGTTTAGACTCATATTCAACAGAGAGGAATCAAAATAACTTAGTAGGAATCATAAGAGAGAAATAGTGAGAAGAGTAGAAGGGCATTGACATTTTTATTGTGGCTCTACAATACTTCATAATGCTTGGATTAATTTGCATATATTATTTAAGATAAGTATGGCTATAGAGGAGACTACTGCCTTGAAAGATGGTTTTGAGCTCCAACAAGGAAATGTAGTGGGAGAAAGAACTCAGTTTGTACAATGTGTGTGATTTTGTTAGGGGCAAGAAAGGATGTGTGGAAAGCTTTTGCTCCAGATATTTCTCCATTTGGGCCACTAGGTGGTGACATTGTATAAAGACAGCTTGGTTGCTGGCAAATAAAATAGTCAAAAATTTGGTTTGGAAATGAAAACGTATGTTTAACAATTAAGGCTAAGAGTATCCTCTAATTTTTTTATATTAAACACTCAATTTTGTAGCACGTTTGTGGTGATTTTATTAAACTTCTTTTTTATATTTAATTTACATATGCACCCTACCCTGAGGTATTTTATACTGCCTGTCATAATCAGTGATAATAAACTACATACTGTAAACAGGCATTTAAATAGACAAGTGCCCCTTGTCCTCCAAAATATTCAAATACAAAGACAAAATAATTGATACAGATGATGTATCTAAGAAATATATTGAAAATATGTGAAGCAAAATAAAATTTTAGTCTGTACTGTGTTTACTCCTTTAGTACTCATAGCATAGATTACATGTACTGAAAGTTAGAATCAGAAGGAGGGACCACTCAGAAGATCCTCTCATCTCTGAAGAGTCCTTGCATGTTACTGTATGGGTAGCCCACATCCTTAGGATCCTCCTGCTTTCCTTTGTGTGTCACCACCAATTCCCCATATTTTCAGATTAAACAATTGGTGGGTAGTATTTATTTGTAATGACTTAAAATAACACTGTCCCTTCTCTCATGCTTGAGGTTGATGTCTTTTGAATTAGAGGGGTCTCTGATATTGGATTAGGACCAGTTTCCAGAGGAAGGTCCCTATTATTCCCAAGTTGGAACTCTAAATGTGCTTTTTTAATATAAATAGTGTCTTTTAAATATTTTTTTTTAGTTTTAGATGGACACAATATCTTTATTTTGCTTATTATTTTTATGTGGTGCTGAAGATCGAACTCAGGGCCTCACATATGCTAGGCAAGTGCTCTACCGCTGAGCCACAACCTCAGCCCCATAAATAGTGTTTTTGTTGATAATTTAGCTGATTTGGTATTATATGAAGCCCTGATTTTAAAAATCAGACTTCCTTTCTGGAGTGTTGAGTTCAGTCTTCCATATTTTCTTTACAGAGTAAATGATCTAGAAGTGCATTTTCACTTCTGCAAAACAAGACATTTTCAAATTGAGTATGGCTTCCTCCTTTTTCTCATTTTCTTCAGCTTAAAGTGGGTTGTTTCTCTTTTGTTCTTTTATAGTCCTGTTTAAGACTATGTTCTACTTTATTTTTTAAAAATTTTTTTTAGTTGTTGATAGACCTTTATTTTATCCATTTATTTATTTATTTGTTTATTTATTTATTTGTGGTGCTGAGAATCGAACCCAGTGCCTCACACATGCCAGGCAAGTGCGCTACTGCTGAGTCCCAGCCCCATCCCTAGTTCTAATTTATGTTAATAGTGTATAGATTTTATTATCCCAATTATAGCTTATTTGTGAAAAAAGCAAACTTTCTTGCTTAGTTTTGTATCTGTTATCAACGGAATCTTATCTAGTGCCTTGTATGTAGTAAGTGCTCAATAAAATATCCAGATGCTTAAGAAAGTGTTTAAATGATTGATGCCAACATAATGTGTTTTATGATAATCACCTATGACATAATATAACTTTTTATACCACAAAAGTTGTTTAAATGGACTTTAAGATAGAGGACTCCTGTGACTAGATGTTTTGATATCTGATGAATGGATGTTATGGCCTTTCAACTTATAAAACATAAATAATTTTTGGAGCTCAAAATGCATTCTTTTATATCTATTCATTAAATTCAGACCACATATGAGACAGTTTTGTTGTAATATTCCAAATTTCTGATCCTCTAAGGAATTACTGCTGATTCTTTTGGAAATCTGAATGAAGCTATTCTCTCACTACCCAAAACCCAGAAAAATGCCCATGCAAAGAAAATTCTGTATACTATTTTAGAGAGTTCACGGACCTCATATTAAGAACTTCTCTTTTAGATTCTGGAGTAGAATGCAGCAATCATGACTAGTCAAGAGCAGAGTTTTAGTTCATTTTACTGTTGATAAATGTGGTGCCATTTGGAAGGACATGTAACCACTCCTTGCCTCCTTTTGAGTTAAAGATGGAGTGAATTAGCACATGCAATATACTAAGAATAGTGCCTTGTGCAGAGTATGCTTCCCAGTCTTTAATTCTACTCTTACAAAGGATTTCTGAATTTTGCAATACCTCCTTTTGTCTAGTTATCTTTAAGAAAATTACTTTCAGGGGCTAGGGATGTGGCTCAAGCGGTAGCGCGCTCGACTGGCATGCGTGCGGCCCGGGTTCGATCCTCGGCACCACATACAAACAAAGATGTTGTGTCCGCTGAAAACTAAAAATAAATATTAAAAAAAAAAAAGAAAATTACTTTCTTATTAAAACATGATAACAATCAGTATTCTGTCATCCTGCAAGGCAAGTTGTGAGTTATGTCCTGAAGTTTGGTTCACACAGCAGTAAATGAGGGACCAAAATCTGCCATCTTATTGCAGTGCTATAATTGAAAATCTGTAGTTAGAGGAAACGTGTGCCTCTCCATTGTAAGAGTAACTGGGGAAAGGGCTCTGAGAAAATATACTTCAAGACATTGTGTAGATATACCAGTGTAATGTGATAAAGCAGATGAAGTTTTCCCCATAATTATAGCTGCTAAGAACTTTAGTTTTTTGGAATGGGGGGTTGGGCATATCATATCTATTATAAATTTTTCTTTTTTAAAAATGTTTTATAAAAACAGATTTTATTAATGTGTATGTTAGTAGCAAACAGGTTATGTTAAAAATATGTAACTTTTATATATTATCCAGAGGACAAATAGCTTTTTTTTTTTAACTCTAATTAGGGAAGAAGACAAAAACATATTTGATTACTGCAGGGAAAACAACATTGACCATATAACCAAAGCCATCAAATTGAAAAACATGGATGTGAATACGAAAGATGAAGAGGTATGAAAACACCCTCTTTTGGTTTCTGATGAATGGATGCTATAGCCTTGTAAGGTTATAAAACACACTAGTTTAATTTTTTCTTTTGCTTTCTTGTTTTGCCCCAATGCCTTTTTCTAAATGATGGGCCTTTGAACTACAGCTCAAAAGTACATTATTGTTAAGAGCTTATCAGAATACCTAAATGAGTTGATGTCACCCAGTTAAGATACTTTCTGTGTCTATAGCCAACATATTTCTATCCACATAGCTGAAACTTGTCATAAATAACTTCTGTTTGTTTAAGATAAAAGGAGATACTTTTAGCATGGTAAGTAAAATCTATAGATGATAGCACTCTCATTTATAAATGAGAGCTGTTTATAAATAGCTACAACATCTTCTTTCATTTTACCACAAATGGATATATTGTTCTTTGCTCAGTAAATATATTTCTGGTAAACTGTGTCAGAATTTTGATAAATCCAATTCTTCAAATGCTGACCCACTAGTTAAAGGAACTCTATGCTAACTTATTTTCAGAATATATTCTTAATTTATTTTATGAATAAAGCTATTCATATATTGAGCTTAAAAAGGTGGTACTTGTTAGGAAGAGGACATGCAGTGATCGTAGATAATCTGTCACATATACAAAGAACCAGCCTATTATGGTTAAGAACTCCCTCTATAGGTTAGCCCTTAATAATACCTCATTTTTAGGCAACATATTTACTATAATATATTGTCAAGGGCATTTGTAATTGAAAATGTAAAATTATAATACTAGAGTAAAGGGGGAACAATAATACTATTTTTTCTCCACTATATAATAAAAAGGCATGAGAGATGGCCAGAGAAAAGCAGAGATCAAATTGTGAAAAAATAATTTCAGGTCTTCTGATTCCAATTAGAATTTGCTTTGTGTGCATGTGGGGGGTGAAGGGTGGTGTTTTTTTGCCTTAAAAAAAAATAAACCTAATATCATTGCTTTTCTTGATTTTATTATTTTTATTTTAATGCTTGTGCTTTAAGATTTTTACAAAATTAATACATATAGATAGTTTTTAAAAAATAAATAGTACTATTAGTCTTATAACAAAAAAAGCTCTGTGATTCTTCTAGCTTCCTTAAGCAAAAGGTTTCAATTCTCATAGTGGTTTATCTTGACATTTGCATGTATAATTCTAAATAATATGCTTTTGTCACTTGATTTTTCCACTTTAGACATTATCAATTTCTTTCTATTTTATTTTTGGATTAAGTTTTTTAATCATCTTTCCCTCTATTTTTTCTCTGACCTCTTAAAAAAGTTGTATCACAACTTTTAATTTCAGCTTTCTGATTGCATCTGTATTGAATTCATGTTATTGTGACTGTGTAAATTTTATTCATTGCTAAGCTGTGGACTGTACATGTATATCAGTTTGCATTTGCTGCAGCAATAAACAGCCCTCAATTTTCAGTGGCTTACACCAACAAATATTTATTTCATCCATGTCGCCATCTTATTAGATGAGCGACAACATTTCATATACTCTGATGTACTCTTACTTTAATTCTGCTTTGTTTATCTTACTTATATTTCAAAAGGGTTTGGGATCAGTTGAGGCTCTACTGGATTCTGGTAGTCTGGTTTGGGCTCAGTTCATCTTGTTTTCATGTGTCTTCTCAGTCTGAGCTATAACCTTAATGAATACTCACTCTGGGACAGGGACTGAAGGCAGACAGAGCCAGATCCCACAAATGCACTTAAAACTTTGGCTTAGAAGTGACATGTATCACATCTATTCACATTCCATGCTTATTAATTTGTTGAATTAATGAATGTTTAAAAGAATGAATAGTTTAACAGTGAAGTGCTAGACTGTATGGATCCAAGTCCTAACAGTGTCACTTTCTGGCTATGTGACCTTTGTCAAGTTTACTTTGTGTCTCAGTTTCCTAAATGTGTAAAATGGAAATAATTGTACTTGACTCAGGATTGTTCTGAGAATCAATAAGTTAATATATAAGGTACTTGACAGACACATAGTAAGCATGCAATAAATTTAGCTTCTTTGAAATTCCTAATATGAGTGAAGAATATAATGAAGAGCCGGGCACAGTAGTGCATACCTGTAATCCCATCAGCTCAGGAGGCTGAGACAGGAGGATCATGAGTTCAAAGCCAGCCTCAGCAACTTAGTGAGGTACTGAGCAACTCAGTGAGACCCTGTCTCTAGATAAAATATAAAAAAGGGGCTGAGGATGTGGCTTAGTAGTTAATTGCTCCTGGGCTCAATCCCCAGTACCAAAAAAAAAAAAAAAAGAAAAGAAAAGGATATAATGAAGAAATAAATAAAAGAAACCACTTAACTTTCCAGGTCAGTTTTTTTATTAGTACATATCATGTGTGTATTGTATAATACTTTATAAAGTGTATATAACAGTTTACAGAACACTTTTACTTATTACTGTGTCATGCTCACAATAATCCTCTAAGATAGATATTATGCTCATTTTGCAGACGGGTACTGCCATACTGCCATTCAGAGATGTACATTTACCTTCTCAAACACCTATACCTGTCAAGTGAAAATCTGGTCTGAGAGAGTATTCTTCTCTCCACTGGATTTACAAAAAAGAAGGATAATCCATTTTCATTTGACCTGTTTTATTTTATGCTCTGATTTGCAAAAACTTTTTTTTATAAAATAATATTAAAAGTCAACTCCACATGTGACCTCTGCAAAGATTATTGGATGGATAGCAGTGATCGTAACGAAATAAGTGTCTAGAACACAAATAGCTCACACTAACAGTCCTTTTGTGAAAATAAAAGGAAAACTTGGAAAATATATGCCATTGACTACTTTGATGTAGTACTGCTTCCCATCTCTTCCAGTTTGTTGCCCATGCAGCCACCTTTACCCCAGCCTGCCAGAGCATTGTGTTCCCATGAACAGATGAAGTGCTTACACATTCATAGACTGAGACGCCAAGAATTCAGTTGGGTTCTCTCATTGCTCCAAGCAGATTTCTGTCCTCTCAGCCATGACAGCTCGGGCTGAGCTTTGAATACTGATGGCAAGTCCTTTTATTATTAATCAGGGATTTGTATGAATTAATTTAAGAACATAAGAGAGATGGGAGCTTAAAATTAGACTCAAACTTAACATCCTAAATAAAATAAATAGTGCTGCTTTGTGACATTTAAAGGTCTAACAGATGAAATAATTTGGTAAACCTTGGTGATGGACTCAATGTATGTGACCTCAGAATGAAGTGTCTAGCCAAATATTTTTAGTCCCTTATCAGTAGAAAGACATTTTCTTGTTATTAGTCATAAGACAATTTCAGTTTTGAAAGGACATGCAGTTCTATGTATTTATCTGATGTTTCAACTTGAGATATTTCCCTCCTGATGGCCTAGGATTCTTTGAATTGATATGTTTTTATATAAAATATTTATCCAGAAGATTCAACAAATTTTACTCTTGCCCTTTCATGACTAAAAGTTACATTTAATGCTTTTGAAGTTTTCTGTGAGCACACAAAAGAAATTTATTTGTAGTTATAAAATGATAAGAATGCATTCCCATAGATTGAAATAAGCACAATAAATTATTAAATTATTACAATAAATTTGTAATTTATAAATTATTGTGTTACCTGAAATGCAAGTATTTGGGTCTGTTATAGCTTATGAACAAATATATGTGAACTGCCTTTTAAATAAAATGTCTTATATTTCATAATAAAATTATTATGTATTAGTTTCTCATATATACCTTTTATTCATATGAGTTTAAATTGCTATGAATATAGTAAAGGCTATGTTTTTTTTTCTTTTGCCACATTATAGATTGAATCCAGGAAGCACTCTACCTCTAAGGTACATCCTCAGCTCAAGACATGTATTTCAAATTAGAAATTTGAGAATTTTACATGTTTCCAATTGATATAATAAATAAGATGTTGTATATTTTGCATAAGGCGGTGAAGTTTCATAGTTACACTCTCTATTTGGGAAGTTATTAATATATCAGATGTTTCAGGGTCCAAATGGTATTATAAGTACTGACTTTTTATTTACATTACAACTTTTATTATGTTTTTAACCATTTGCAAAATGCTTGGAAATTGAGATAGAGGATATCAAGAGATATTGAGGTAGAAAATATGAAATGGGCAAAAGAAGATCTTAAAGCTTATTTATTTTTTAAAATCCTGGTTCCATTTTTAACATTAAGCCATATTATTAAGCTCTTCACACATGCCAAGTATTTATAGTTCTTCAAAAAAATATTATTTAAAGGGAGAAAGGATTATAGAAGCAATTTTCAAAGTATATTTAAGATATGAATAGAATATTTCTTATCAAACATCAAGCATAAATTATGTCTGTATAATTCTTGTCATACACATTATTTTTCAGATCAGTATCATATATGAGAATGAAATATATGCTTATTGATGATATTTAAATAGTATTTTAAACATTTATGGTAATTTTAAGTTGTTTTAGGACAAATGTAACAATGTATTATTTTAGCAAAACAGATGACATTATTCTGGTGCAGCTATCTGTCATAAGGCGCCCCCCACAAAAGTATTCACAGTTAATTGTTTTTTTTTTATAGATTCGAATGCACCCTTTTGATTGAGCTAGCTTTTTTTCCTTTCTTTTTTATTTATTTTTTATTTTTATTTTTATTTTTGTGTGTGTGTGTGGTAATGGAACCCAGGTGTACTCTACCACCAAGCCTCAAACCCAGTCCTTTTTAAATTATTTTTTGGGGGTGGGGGGTAACAGGGATTGACCTCAGGGACACTCAACCACTGAGCCACATCCCCAGCCCTATTTTGTATTTTATTTTGAGACAGGGCCTCACTGAGTTGCTTAGTGCCTCACCATCACTGAGGCTGGCTTTGAAATCAAGATCCTCCTGTCTCAGCCTCCCAAGCCACTGGGATTACAGGTGTGCACCACTGTGCCTGGCTCATTTTTGAGACAGAATTTCACCAAGCTGCAGAGG